ATTCTCAGGAACTCAGTAAAACAAACAAACAAACAAAAAAACCCAATAAGAAATGGATGAAATATTTCTATAGAAGTGTTTTCCAAAGATACATGGATTATACATAAATCCATGAAAAAATGCTCAACATCATTAATCATTAGGGAATTTCAAACACCCAGAAAAAGCTACTGCTATACCTATTGGCATGGCTGCCATAAAAGACTGACCTCACCAGGTATAGGCAAGGAAGCAGGGGAACTGGAAATCTCATACACTGTCAGTAAGAATGTGAACCAGGCCACTTCACACCTGTTAGAATAACTGTTACCAATCAGACAAGATAACAAGTGTTAGAGAGGATGTGGAGAAAAGAGAACCCTCACAAACTGCTGGTAGGAATATAAATTGGTGCAGCCACTATGGAAACAGTATGGAGGTTCCTCAAAAAAATTACAAATAGAACCATCATATAATCCAGTGGTTTCTCTTTTGGGTATCCAAAATTTTTTGAAAACACTTATTCATAAAGCTCTATGTACCCCTGTGTTCGTTGCAGCATTATTCAAAATAGCCCAGGCATGTAAATAACCTAAATGCCCTTTGATAGATGATTGTATAAAGATATGGTACATAAATACAATGGAATACTATTCAGCCATAAAAAAGGTGAAATAGTGCCATTTGTGACAATATGGATGGACCTTGAGAGTATTATGCTACGTGACATAATTCAGAAGAAAAAGAACAAGAACCATATGATTTCACACATGTAGGATATAAAACAGAAAGCAACAAATGGACAAACAAAACAACAATTAAAAGAATTTAGAGATACAAAGAGAATCATGGATACCAAAGGGGAAATAGTTTGAGAGGACAATAAAGAGGGTACAGGGGGCCAGATACATGGTAATGGAAGGAGGCTATGCTTTGGGTGGTGGGCATGCAATAGAGTATACGGATGTTGTATTAAAAGTTGTACCTGAAATTTATATATGTAACATTATTAAACAATGTTATTCCATTCAATTTAATAAAAAATAAAATAAAATGGTACAACCTTCTGAAAACTGACAGTTTCTTAAAAAGTTCAACATACACCTACGAATGATTCAGCTATTCCATTCCTTGGTATTTACCTAAAACAAATGGAACCACATGTCCATATAGACTTTTACACAAATCTTCATGGCAACTTTATTCATAATTGCCAAAAACTGGAAACATACTGTCCATCAATAGGGGAATGATGATAGACAACAAACCATAGCGTATCCATACAATGTAAATCTCAGGAATAAAAAGAAATAAATTAATGCATGCTACAGCATGGCTAATCTCAAAACAATTATGCTGAATGAAAGAAAAAACAGATTAAAAGGGGGAATTACCTATGGTATGAGTCCATTCCTATAAAAGTCTAGAAGATGCATCGATCTACAGTGACAGAAAGGAGGTCACTGTTTGCCTGGTGAGGGCGGGTGCCAGCAGGGGCAGGGAGGGATTGCCAAGGGTAATAGGAAATGGCAGTGACGGTTTTGTGTGCACACATTTGTCAAAACCTATTGAACTATATACTTTAAATATGTGCAGTTTATTGCACATGAATTATACCTCAAAATAATGCATAACAAACAGACAAACAAAAGATGTTGCCTGTGGGCTGTGAGATCTGAGATTGCAAGAGAGAGTAAGACAAGAAGCTGGTATTTCCTTATAAACCCTGAGATATTTTTTTAACCATGCAAAAGTATCACATTAAAAATGAAAATAGAAAAAATAAAACAAGAGCAAGAGCATACAAAGCCAGTCTTATTTTCTTCAAAATTTTTAGCTGGAAATCAGGTACCTGTAAAGGCACAAATTCTTTCTAGCCACCCTGAAACTATTTACTTGCATTACTGAATTCCTAACAAGAATACAATTTAGAATGCAGAGTAAATGAAAATATTCGACCTTAATATTTCAATGAGCTGTCGCTGATATATCACCAAAAGAATATGAATTGCCACTAAGTGACATTTTTAAGCAATAGCAGTGGATTTGTGCTGATCCAGCCCCAACCTTCTCCTACAACCTTATTTATTTTTACAGGGGATTGGTACAGATGGGTTATAGGAATCATTAGGTAGGTGATAACTCCTAGTGGTTAAAATTCTAATTTTCTAGGTCCTTACCTAGGAGCCATTTCAGCAATGGGATGAATTTGGGGTTCAGCTGGTGAACTGAAATTGATATCACTAAAATAATCAGTTTCATAAGAATCTAAGTAGTGAGCTACCCTCAAGTGTCACAAGGAAAGAAATGAATCTTGCAAGTTAGGGGGGTAATTTTGCCAGAACAAAAGCAGAAATTCAATGAGAAGAATGGAGAAATGGTGAGATTTTTATTTGCATTTAAATCATTCTTTGGACTTTTGGAGGATAAAGCTCAGGTATAATGCAAGGTAGGGAGCCAGAAGCTCTTCAACACAGATCCTCCTTTTACTATGGCTAACATATGTATAGGCCTGATAATTCTGATAGCCATGACTTCGTGTATGAATGCTTTGACTTAAAAACTGTTTAAAGAATGTATAAATTCTAAAAAAAAAAACTCAAGTTATTTGGCATTGGCTGTTGGTGATAGAATGATTTCTTCTTGATATTAAGTGTCTTCAAGTTTCTGGTCATTTTAATGACAGATTAGATATAACACCCATGTGGTTTTAAAATAAACAAAGTGAGGACATTAGAAAGTGTTGCGAGATCAGCTGCTTCTGACCAACACCTGAGTAAGTTAACTGTAAAGTATTGTATTCTATCAGGAGACAGAATCATCTACCACTTTAAACTCTTTTCTATCCCTTCCCTGACAAGTTTAGTCAGGCTCCTCACATGTGCAGAGCAGCCCTGCCGAATGGAACTAGAAAAAGTCATTTGGAGTTAAACAATAAACCACTTCCAATGCATACACACACACACACACGCAGCTTAAACCTGCTTTCATCATCTTCATCCAGAAGAAAGTTGGTTGACAAGCAGAGCAAGGAAGAACAGGTGGGTAATGCTACGAAAATCAGTTTGTCCTGAACATCCAGAAAGCACCAAATGACTTGAAACAGGCCCAAAAAGGCAGAGTGGTCAAGTAGGGGAAAAAACAACAAACAAAACAAAAACACCACAGGTCTAAGAACCTACATTATGCATCTTTGCTGGATTTAAATATTACCTGGTATTTTAACAAAATCTCAAGGATAAGGTAGAATTTCTCCCCCTGTGGATATTTCAAAACAAGACCACATTCTGTCTTGATTTGGGTTAGATGTCAACCTGCCTGGTGTTCTCGAAGCTGCCAATACCTTCACAAACATAGGCCAGCAGCTCTCATTTTCCAGGTGAGGAAATGGGATTCCAGGGAGCCTTAACCAAAAGGACAGAGCTAGTTAGGGACATAGCCAGGTCTGGAAGCTCCATGTTGAGATGGTCTCCTAAGCCTGACTCTTAGGCCCTCTCTGCTGTTCTCTTCTGAGTGTTTTGGGGGCTCATGATTCTGTAACAGATTTTTGCACAGTGGCTTTCAGCCCAGCTGCAGCGTGGAATCACCTGGAGCTTTATAAATTCTGGTGCAGGAGCCTCACCCTCTGCCCCCAAGGACTCTGATGCAAAAGAGCCAGGGCGTGGCCCTGGCTCTGGGAGTTCCTGGAGCTCCCACAGGCAATCCTCCTGCGCAGCCACCTCTGAGAAGCCCTGCCACAGAGCAAAGCATATTGGGAATACAGTTTCCTGATAATTAAGGCAAGCTTTTGCAATGCTTTTCACACTCCAATCTAGGCAGGTGTTCCCTGTTGAAAATTTCTTGCTGGTCAGCCTGCCCTGGCCCTTCGTTAGCCATCATTCTTGGTCCTCGCTCAGCCTCAAAAAGTGCACCACTGCAATCAAAATGACCATTAAAATAAAGATCCAAAACAAGTTTCAAACGTTAAGTAAAAGAGAAGGAAATCCCTTGATTTGGACAAGTCTCCATAAGCAAAACAGAGGAAAGGGAGGCTATCTGGCGATAATTCCGGCCAAGAGGATTTGGGCATTTTCCCAGAATTACCCAAGTAATACTGTGAACAGCAAATCTATGTAGGTTAAATGATGTACAAACTGCCTAAATCATGAGGTTTAATCAAAAGTTACCTGACTCTGGAAAGTTTGAATGCCAAAGACACTACATGCATCACCGGTTTGATTAACACCTGCCCCTTCCCTAAGCAGCTTCCTCCGGGGTTCTTCAGGAATAAACTGCGGCCCAACTGACTGTGAGTTCGAGACTCTCCCAGGACCCTTCTGTGCCACTTCGGGGCCTGAGCCACCCAACTCAGGAGAACTCCCCAATTCCTAAACCCCTTCTGGCTCCGAAGACACCCCTAGGAGAATTCAAAAGGGGCGTGGTGAAGAGGAGTCTTCGTGCACCGGCCAGAATCACCTTTGCTGTGCCACAGAGACACCAGGGCGCACACCTGGTCTGGCGCCTGTACGTTTTACGGTGCTCCACCACAACACGCAACGGGGGCCCTGGGGTGACAATGTCAGAGTTCACCGGTCACGGAAAGGACAAAAGTAAGGGGGAGTGTACCAGCGCCTGAGCTTCCCCAGTGCCGCCAGAGCCTCCGCCGGGGAGGAGAGAACGGGCTCCACGAGGGGGTGCGGGGTCTCCGCGGGCTCCCCTGGAGAAGGCCGCACCCCGTTTCAGGCGCCGCCTACTTACTCACCCTGACTCTGCCCAGCTGGAGGCAGGACCCCGGCAGGGGCGGGAAGCCGGGATAGGGCCCCAGGAGGCTCAGCGAAGGTTTGACCCGGCCAGCCCAGAGCTCGCCGCGAGGGGCCGCCTTAGCCCCAACCCCGCACCACCTGTCCCATCTCGGGTGGCAGCGCAGTCTCAAGACACACTCACTGGAGATAGCGCGCCCCAACTCTAGCGCTCTCCATCGTAGCACAGACTAGAAAGATGCCCGGAGAGGGAAGGCACGCAAGAAGCGCAGACTGCCCTACCTGTTCAGGGACAAATAGCAGGTACCAGGTGCTGCAGACGATGCGGACCAAGAGTATCCAGTTCCAGCGCGCAGCCAGCTTCCGTGCCATGGTCCCCCGGCGAGGAAGAGGGGGCAGTCCCAGGCGAGACCTTTTCTTGGAGGCTGTAGCCGCTTCCCGCGCAGGCTGCGGAGGCTTGGAGGCTGCGACCGCCGGACAGACTCCTGGTCTGAGTCTGCGGGGCAGGGTTGCGTCGGCTGCCGTGTTCTCTGAGCTGTCCTGCTGCCGTGGAGCCCGGCTGCTTTAAATGGGAGCGCGTGCGCTGGGGGTGGGGGCCTTATTTGTGAATGTGCTGCTTGTCTTGGCTCGGGATGGTTCGCGCTCCAACCCCCACCCCCCCAGCACCCCCTCCGGCTCCTGCTCCTCCCCTCCTCGGTCAGCCCAGCGAAGGCGGAGAGCGCAGACACCCAGCCGCCCAGGCAGGGACCAGGGTGCGCGTTTTGGGGGAGCGGGAATACCTGCCGGCTTCTATTTATTTATTCTTTTTAAAAGGGAGGGTCCGGTGCTACACATCTTGCTCGCGTTTGGAATGCCATCCTGCCTGCCCTGCGTAAATGCCAGATGAGAACGAAAAGCTCTTGCAGGACTCTGGAGCCTTCTCTGGAACAAGTCCCCAGGGCCATTCCCTGTGCGTTTTCCCTGGAACTCAGAGCCCTGGAAGCCACGCAAGGGCCTTCAGGGACTGGGGAAAAGTTTGTGCATATTCGGAGAGGGCGATGACTAGGAAACTCGGGACCCTATACAATGGGGCAGAACTGAACTTTACACTGTTATTCTGTCCCTGGGGACCCGTCTCCTGGGCGCACAGATTCTCCCATGGAGTTAATTTGTTTGCAACCTGAATCTAGGGAAAGAGGACTTCGCCCTCCATCAGCGGGGACCCATGGCAGTTAAGTAGGGCACGATGAACCAGGAGTCAGCGCCAGGCGTAGGGAGCCCAAGAAATGGGTTCAGTGAGACTGGCTTTTCTTGATGTGTTCTTGTGCCAGTGGGTTCCTGGGGGCAAGCCAGGGCGCCGCTTCTCTGGGTGTGGGCCACCCTCTTATAACTCACACTTGAACTTTCAGGCTTTCTCCTTAACAGCAAACACGACTTCGTGCCCTTTTCTTTGCCATTGGGACCTGGGCTTATTTCTTCCTGAAAACCTGGCGCTCCAGAGCCAGTTTCCCAAAGCATCTTTATAAGAAAGCAAATACCCCACCCTTCTTCCAACGGTCTTCCAGGCCACTCCACCCCTCTGGAACCTTGGCAGGGAAGCAAGCAGAGGCGGGGAGCTGGCCCCACTTCAGTAAACTCCTTACGATAAGAGGATTCAGCGCAGCGCTGGTGGAATAACTTTTGTGAAGTTCCCACGTGCAAGCATTGGAGTGAGCCCAGCATAAAATGAAGACGCCGCCATACTCCCTAGCAACCATTCATTCAGTCCACATATTCCTAAAGCCAAGTGCTGTGCTTAAACGTCGCAGCCCATCAGTGACCTAGACAGAGGTGGATCTTGCCCATTTCAATTGCGTAAACAGACCAGACACAGACTGTCTGCTGACAGTGAGAGGCACAGTCAGGGCCGAAGTGCTTTTAGGAAATGAACGTATATATGCCAGCAGCAGGTTTGTGTCCAGATGAGGGGGATTTTGTTCTTGTATATGGTAAAGGAGCTGCTTCTCAGAAATTACCTATTTACTAATGATGTACAGTTATTGAATTCCTAAGGTGTGAACAACAAAAAAGCAGTAGATAAAAAATAAATCTCCCTTTGATCTTAGACTCCCAATATGTCAAAGTTGGAAGGTCAAAATCTTTAGAGACTTTTATTAAGGGGTCTCAGCCCAGTTTTCCAACTTGAATTGGTAAAGAAGAAAGGGTAAGATATTAAAAACCAAACAGGAAAATAAGAACAAAGACTGCAGGAGTTGGAAATAGGAAAGTGTTCCTATGGAGGATTGCAAATGGCTTGGCTTGATAGGACATGTTAGCCACAATCTTGATCAGCAAAAAGCAACGCCAAGCTTGGTGGGGTGGAAGGAAAAGCACGAGGCTGGAAGAAGAAAGAAACCCACATCGGTGTGCCAGGCGGTCAATCTAGGTAACACTAACTGAATTAAATCTTCAGACAACCCTCAACATAGGTGCAGATCACCCCAACTTAACATTTGAGAATCCTGAGGCTCAAGGGCTACACCAACCAAAACTGGAACAAGGCCCTGGTGGGGAACAGAATAAAAGAATTTCAGGATTGGAAGGGAACTCTTGCCCAACCATATACTCCAAACCTTTAAGAGGATTTCAGTCTAGTTCAATAGCCACATTTTTGTTTATAAATGGGTGGCAAAACTAAGGCCCCCCCAACTCACTCGACTTGTCCAATGTCTCACACTTTAAGAGGCAGAGGAATTTTTTTCTACCTCATCGAGGTAAGGAAAGAGTGAGCTTCTATTATTTGAACAATGAGGTAACAAAAGGAGACAAAAATTCAAAGCTTAATTAATGGGGCAGTTAAGTGTAAGGTGTAAAGAGGGTAGAAAGACAAAGGAATGAGACCCGCTAATAAGATACTGCCATTAACCAGCCATGAGGTGATGAACGCTTCCATTACTTGAGATCTGTTCCAGCTACCAGAGAATAAAGTGAGTGTTGGGAAAACCAGAGAGAGGAAGGAAAAAAACATTATTTATTCTATATAATATGGGAAAACGGCACCACCTTAGAGCATCTTCATATCCGAGGTCCACCTCCAGATCCAAATGTTAGCAAATAGTCTGGCTTTGTTGGCTGTTCATTGTTTGCTTACAAGTCTACAGATTCTTAGACTACTTTCCAAATAATATACATCACTGAGAGTTTAAGAAATAAATAAATGAGGTGGAAGAAAGTATTGTCATTATCCACTGAAGATCAAGTTTCCTCAATGCTGCAAAAAATATAGGGAGGATGCCTTAGAACAGATGGCTTTAGTTAACAGCTTAATGACCTCACTGTGACACAAGGACTAAGAAATGTCACATTCCTCAGGTACTAGAATCCACATGGAGAATCAGAATACCCCAATAACCACTGATGGCCCTTCATTACACGACTGTCCCAGTCTTGCCAGAGCCTCTGCTCTGGACCACAAGCCCTTTCATCTGAGACTGGCATCAGGAGGTGTGTTTGGGCATCGTGAGTCAGACCTAGGAACGAGTCGTTCCATTGAAACATCAGAGCACATCATTCTGAGGCTAAAACTGTTGATCAAAATGGCACTGCTGCTCCATTGACCACTCATTCTGCCCCAATCCTTTCATCAGCCCCTTCTTTTCTCCCTGTCTCTTTTTATCCAGAGCCCATCATTTCAATACCACTCTAATACCCTATATTCCTTTGTGCCTTGATATTTTCTTGACATTTCTGTTCAAAACAAACTTATCTGCTTTCTCAGTGCCCACCCTACAGGAGCCAAACACAGCAGGGGAGCTACACAACAGGCTAGGTAGGTGTCACCATGCATAATTTTCACCAGCCTCAAACGGGCTCTCAATACTGCCCATCCATCTTCCTGGTCCGTTCGCTCATCTTGCTATTGACCCTCTACAATGATTATTTCAAACCTTCGCTTTCTCCAAACCTTCAGCTCCTCCACTACCCGTTCAACAAATATGCAGAACCCATGCTTTTCAGAGAAAACCTAATCAGTTGAATGGGAACAACTACTACTTTACCTTTTCCACCAAATCTTCCTCTCTCCACAGCCATCTTCCCCTTTTGTTTTCCAAGGCTAGTCTCTCCACATGCTCTGAATCTAACTTCCTCTTGCCTTCAAACTAGTAGGAAAACTTACTACAATTATCCCTTCTCTCTGCTGTAGAGGCCACAACTCCTTGTAAACTCTAGCTTATTTTTCAATATTCAAACGTGCTCTGGCCTCTCCCATGTATAAATAAAGAAATTAATATCTCTCCTTCCACCCCCTACCCCTTCTTTCCTTCACAACCGCAATTCTTGAAGGTTTTATTTATACTCCCTATTGCCTTCCTCCCTCCCTAACCAACCCTCAACACGTTCCACTCAAAATTCTGCCACCATCACTCTCCAGCAATAGAACCGGCTCCAGTCCTCAGGTGCCTCCCTGCTGTCTTGTCCAATGAACACTGGTGGGTTGTCTTCCTACTTGTCCTACCTAGCAAAGCCGCTTGGCACGGGCAACCATTCCTTCCTTCTTGGCTGTTCCTCAGGCACCGGTGAGCCACCCCGGGAACACTGCTTTGGTACATGCTGTCCCTTTCCCTCCTCATCTCCTTATCTAGTTAACTCCTGACGTGTTCCCATATGTGGGCTGGATCCTTTATTTATATGCATTTATTATATACCTGTATTATTTTCCTTCAGAGAATTGATTCTAATTTGTAATCGTACTTTTATTAATGTGATTGATTCACCGAAATGTCTTTCCTTCTCCCACTGGGTTGTCAATTCTATAGGAGCAGTTCACCGTTGTAGCTCCCACACCTGCCCACTCCAAATGTCTAGCGCATCATGTTTGACAAAATAAAAATTGTTCAATTAATAAATAGATGAATTTGTACCGTACTTTATCTCCTTCAGTGAGCTGACCTAGGCACTTAACCATCAAGTAAGACACAAACTGCAAGCTCTCCAAGGACAGATATTATATGTTAAAGACCTTCATCCAAGTTCTACTAAAGTCCTAGGGACATAGGAGGCACTAAAAGAAAAATAAATGACTGGCTGACTGATTAAATGAATGGATAGAATCTACTAAGAGAATGGGAAACTCCCTACTCATGTAAATTCCTAGTCAAACTCCAAATAAAAATTAATAAGCCCTACAATTCTTGAACGGATAATAAAACATTCCAGCAGCCATTCCTTCTTCTAAAAATATAGTGAAGTTTAGTATAGAACTCATTATCTTCTCTATTAATACCTCAAAGTTTCCCCTATAAGGAGAAATCAAAAAATAAATAATGTAAATAATATATACAGGACATTCATCACAATAAAAATCATACTTTTCACTAAATACATACAAGAGGAAGGAGAGAGATGAGCATTCTATTATCCAGAGTTAAGATTTATCTAAATTATTCCTAGTTAGTGTATTGTATACAATATAAAAGGATCAGCAAGAAAGGAACTTTCCAATAACCAGCTCAAATCCTGCTTCATTCTCCTTT